AGATAAAAAAATTAATTCTAACAAATCCCTCCTTTTACACCTGTTAAGGTGTGAATCCATATTTAAACTGAAAGCCTCACATCCCTCCTCGGTATCCTTCACAGCTGTGATATTGTTCTTTCTCTCTTAAACCTGTGCTGTGTCTCCCCCTTTCTTTTAGGAGAAATCGTTATCACCATCCTTATACTGTAAAGAGAAAACAAGGAATAGGACAGCATAATCATCTACTGGTCATCTAATCATCTAACCATCAGTTAATGCCTTATAAAAAGCCATAATTACAAGGAGGACAGTACCATAACACCATGGTTGCCTTGATTTGTATTTCTGCTTTCTTGTGGCCTGTCTCCATCACTTCTTCTTCCCTGCTGGTGGTCATTTTGTGGCTCACTCTGTTTCTGTGTGTTGACCTGGCTCGCCACTGAACCATTATCTCATCTCCTCATCTGCCCAGAACGACATCTATCAAGATGCACAACACAAAAGAGCCAAAAACTGCCATCAACTCCAGACACATGCAACTTCTACACATTTACTTTTAATAGAATCCATCCAAATCAACTAAACACCTTAATGAAGGGTTATTAAATCAAATATGCTCGATTGGTTTACATTTAGTGAATAGCCACTGCATCTTGTAATGATTTATTTCAGTTTCAGTTTACTCACAATTACTGCTTAATGCAAGAAAAGATGCGGTGGTTTACGACACCAACTGTCTGCCATCTATAATCCAGTTTTGAGATCCCTTCCCAGACGCCTTAACGCCCACTCACATCCTGGGCCATCTGACCTCAGGAATTTGCATGATAAGGTGGGGCCAGGTTTCACAATGAACTCACCCGAAACTCTGGCTGATTGGGACCCACACCCAGTTTCACACCTTGGCTCAGTCGATTAGAGGGTCATCAGGGGGTCCTTTCATCCCTCTGTGGGGGGACACTCCCACTAGGTTTATATCTGGGACTCTCCACCATTTGACCTTAGAACTGAAGAAGCTTCTCGGATGAGAGGTGAAACGTCTTCAAGTAACTTAAAGAAGTCCAGACGCTTTTCTTTGCAAGCTCCTTTGACTACAATGACCTGGATGACTGAGAACCTTCACAGACACTGCTAAATATACTTTTCTTCCCTTTGCAACATAAACTTTTAAAAATATGAGAGTAGAGTTGATTGCGTCATGCTCCTGATATGACTGGTTTGTGTTGCTGTAAATAAAGTTTCCTCTCTGACTTGCCCTGTGCTGCATCTTTAGCTCATACAAAGCATATGAATCAAATTAAAATGTTACACGTGGTGTTACTGTTACTGACCCATTAATATGGTTATGATTTGTACCTATTTCAAGGCAAAATGATACACAACTGGTCTCAGTTTTTTTTCTCCTTTTTGTCTCAGCTCATGCAACAGAGAAGGCTTGTCTTTTTTTCAATGTAATGGGAGCTTATGATCTATAAGTCCAGGCTCTGGATTTGTTCGTGTGCATCAAAGGATGTTGTCAAAGGATCAAAGGATGTTGTCACTGTTGCGTTCTGTTTCACTAAGAGAAGTTCAGAAGACAGTCTAGCAGTTCACACTATTTTATTATCAGGCAGTTAAAGATTTGGCTTGCACAGCGGTGGACTTCTCAGTGTCAGGCAGTCTGCACATGGAGAATGAAATACAATTCATAATTCCAAGTATGAAGTTTCTATTTCTTGTTGACTACAGCACCCTGTTATCATACACCCAAGGCCTATCAGCCCTTCCTGTCTGATACTGTGTGCTGTAAGTGTTTAGCATCAACACTCAGCTCTTTCTATCCGTCTTAGTTAACCCTTCACACCGTGGGGTTTATGCTTGTATCCTTTTAATGAGGAGTGTATCAGCTGTATTATGAGCATACATTGCAATTTCAAAGAAACTTTATAAAAAAAAAACATATCACTGTCGAAATTGCACTGTCAGGCATGTTCTTTTGTACACTTTGTCATCAAGCTCCTCCCAGTGAGCTTAGTCTTTGTGCGTGTCCTCTCCTTGAGTTAGGTCTTTCTCTCTTCTCGATAAGAAGTAACAAGAAGAGAGATTATCATCATTATTATTATTATTATTATTATTATTATTATTATTATTATTATTATTATTATTATTATTATTATTTTAGTGCATCTGCCAGCAAATTAGCTGATATCTGAGAAATAACAAAACTCAGTGTCCCTGTTTGGTCATATGTAGTTTTTGCCTGACCTCTCCACCGTGCTCACCCACTCTATGGGTTACTGCACAAAGACAGTCCTTGGAGGTGGTACCAAGCTCAAAAGAATGCATTCCAGCAGGTAACGCTCTGCACCACTCCTCGTGCATTTTGATCCACTGAAGTGTGTTATCATGTCCTGCAATGCCTCTCCGTATGGTGTAGAAGCTGTTCTTTCACACTGCATGGACAAAGGGGCAGAAAAGCATTTAGGGCAGGGGTGTCAAACTCCAGGCCTCGAGGGCCGGTGTCCTGCAGGTTTTAGATGTGTCCTTGATCCAACACAGCTGATTTAAACGGCTAAATGACCTCAATATGTCTTGAAGTTCACCTAAGGCCTGGTAATGAACTTATCATTTGTTTCAGGTGTGTTGACCCAGGGTGAGATCTAAACCCTGCAGGACACCGGCCCTCGAGACCTGGAGTTGGACACCCCTGACGTGGGGTATGTCACGTACCCTTACAGCAGCGGAAAAGGGCTATTCACAGCTATAGAAAGAAGGATTAGTAGTAGTCTTTGCTGTAAAGTGTTTTCATCAGCACCTGTATGGCTGCCCTTTCACTGTCTTTACAGACCATGAGCGCTTACTGAGAGCATTTAGTGAAACTTAAGGCAATCTGCCCATGGCTTCAGCATGTGTGTAGCACAGAGCATTAACACTGTCAGCATACCATTGTCGCATAGTTTACAAGGTAGGAAGTTAAAATGCAAATGCAGATGCTTCAGCTGCCTCTCCCTCCCTGTGATCACCAGTCTGTTTCGAATGCCCCCAGAGACTCTGTTTTTTGTTAGATAAACTGTCTTACTCTTTAGTGATGGCTAAACACATCAAGGCATGGACCGAAAGAAGCCTTCTTTTAGAAGCAGGTCCTGTGTACTGGAGTACTATGAATTGTAATTATGGGTATTCAGACATGAATGCACTGAGTAGCCTGTAATGTTTAATGATAAACCTATTTGTGGTTTAGTCCACTCTTATTTCCCAGATTACGTGGGAAACATTTTGGCCATAGCCTGTGGTCTTAGGACTTCATTACATGGATGTTGGAATTTCCTTTTCTGCCTCGTCTTCATGGAATACGTTGCAGAAGGACTGACAGTAGTCAATTTTTATTTTTGTTATTTCATTGCTATTTTATTATTGCTGTAAGTTTAAAATGTTTGTCTGAAACAGACACATCTCTCTTGTAAATGAGACACAGAGTCTCAGTGGGACTACCTATATAAGTAAAGGTTAAATAAAAAACTGCATCAAGTTTAAAGTTTAACACCTCAAATGTACAGCTGTTTGTCACATTAAACATAAACCACAGCACAACTTCCTGCAGCACTACAGAGGGGTGAAGAAGCACTCTCCGCCAGCATTGTATCATTATCATTATTATCATATTATTCATTTTATTTTTTTCTATTCTTTGTGGATTATCACCCAGGTCTCTGACTCAGTCAAGAGGCTCTCAGTTGGTCAGAAGGTTTAACAAAGACAGTTGATAACCACCATCATGATACCCATTATCTCTGACTACGATCTTAGGTGGAGTCTAGTCAGCTAGCACGCAAAAGCCTGAAATACATTAAGTGCATACAACTTACTTCATAGTACACTCCTGTGATCTACTAAGATATTTAATGTGGACCAATTATGCTTTTCCTTATTGCAACACATGACTAATGGTGGATATTAAAAGTAGTAAAAGTTTTAAGACAATGAGGTCAGTGTGTGTGCAAGTCATCCCCTTCCTGATTTCTTCATTTTTTTGCATATTTCTCACCATTACATGTTTCAGACTGAAATGTGAATGTAAAATGCAGTCATTAAATGACAATTTCAGTTGTTAATTAAGAAAAGCTATCCAAACCGGAACCTTTGTGTAAAAGCAATTGCTGCCCTTGTTAAATCATGAATGAAATGTGGTTAAATGCAGTTTTTATAAATCTGGGTTATATTTCACCAGACAAGTTCATGTTGAATTTACTGACACTCTACTCTTTCCAGGCTGCTATCAGTTTTGAAAGCATTGCAAAACTATCTCTAAGGCCTTGGGACTCCAGCAAACCACAGTGAGAGCCACTGTGTACAAAAATACAGGTAACAGTGAAATTTCCCAGTAGTGGTCAGACCACCCAAATTATTCCAAGAGTAAACAGTGACTCATCCAAATGAAGAACCCAGAACCCAGGTGTTGTGACTGAACAATACAAAAGAGACTCGGCACAACTGGCATCCAAGGAAGAGCTCCAGGACGAAAACCACTATTGGAATTCTTTGCATTACTGCTACATTCCCACACTGTTAATCTCAATACTAACATCATTATAGCAGTCCAATCATCTTCTTACCCGCCTTCTTCGAGCCAATCAGCTTCCACTCTGCAGAGTTTAAATCTCAATGGTCTGTCACTTACACTTTCAGAGTCTCATACGTGCAACCCACCTCCTCCCCATTTCCACCTCGCTGAGTCACTCAGAATTCCACCCAAGCCATAATCTTCATTGTCACCACCACCAGCACTAAGACTCCAGAGGGGGTTTATCTTAAATCCGATCGCCATTGGGGCCAGAGTTTAATCACCAGATACATCAATCCATTTCTCTATCTCAGTATATCATAGAGATCAGTTCTTCCAAACAATCTCTCCTTATTGAAATGGCAAATGTGTAAACTGCTGACTTATTTATAAACTGTTATTTATAAAGTTCAAGTAGCCAAGAAAAATGCAGCTTTAGGTACATTTTATATTTGTTTTTATTATTAAATTACACGTAAGAAAGCTGTTTAAATCTGTTGCTATAAAAAGTTGAGTCTTCTTTTACTATGTGTGGTTCATATCACTGAACTCTGTATTTGTAAGGTTGAACCTGAATTTGACTACGTCGGTGATTTTCAAGTTCCAGGCAGTTTTCATAAATATCTTCTTTCTGCTCCTGTTGCACAAAAACATGGGAAGAAAACCAAATTCAGATGTTTTCGGCACCACTAAACATGTCCAGATGTTTAGTAATACCTAAAGTGGAAAAGTTAGTGGACCAGCTTGATCTTGTATAGAAACAGATTGGTTGCTTGTTGCTTCTCAACAGACAATATAAAAAATATTATATTTACCATTATTGAAGCAGGAGAACGAGAGCTATAAAAAGAAAGAGAGACATGTTGTTTTTAATCCTAGCAATGTAATACATTTAGCATAAAACTGTTTAAAAGCAGTGACTGCAGGCAACTTACCGTGAATGTCGTTTGCAGACTTTTCTCAGAATGATCACAATAGTAATTAGAAAGATCAGGAAACACGTACAAGGTACAATAACGGCTACGGCAAGTGGGATTTTCAATTGATTTCCTGCTTCAGCATCCTCTGTAAAATACAAAAACTGACTTGTTTCACTGCAGTTCTAATGTTCAGTTAACTTTTTTTACTTCCATGTACAGTGTTTAACAAATCTATTAGACCACCTATCCTAAAAACTGTTAAAGACAAATATTTTAGAACTCTGTCAGAAACTCATTTTAAGATTATATTCTTATGAACTTTTCTTTTGGATGTTTTTATGCCCATGTTTTAAGCCTATTAACCATCTTATTTTCTTTTCTAAATGTACTTGTATATTGTTCACATGTTGAAATAAATTACAAATCAAATCAAATCAAATCATTACAGAAACACAAAAAAGGATTCTGTTAATGATGTGTTATAAACCCTACATTGGGTGATCTAATATATTTTTATGCACTGGAAGACCAGTATGAGTTTTCTAGTCTGTTTTAGACCTGCAGAAATGAAGTTACCTCTGCTTACACATCCCCTGTGGTCTCTCTAAAGACCTCAGACTCTCACAAAATGTTCCTATTCATAATTCTTCTTTGTGTCAAAGTCTGAAACCTGCAAGCTTTACAGAAAATAAATTTTACATTAAACCAATCTAACCACAAAATGTCTAGAGTTGTAAGATACACAAATATAAAGGCAATGCAAGTGAAGCCAGATGTGTTCGCCTCTTTTGTGTTTGAACACAGAGGCAACTTTTAGTGTCTGACTTTCCCCTAGAATAACATTTAAGCAGTGGTAGGGGAAACTCTAGGTAGGTAACTTTCACCTACCCCCCCCAAAAGCTTCCAAACCACTGGCAGTCCCAACTTTTGTCTTTGATACAAAGAGAGAGAGAGAGAAGTTGATATGGAAAGTGTCGTTATTGCCCCCTTCTTCCTGTTTCCATAGCTTGACTACCCCCTCAGTCATGATAAATCATTTCTCTTGTTGTTACTTCAGGTGTTTAAGGAATGCTTGTGTTTTTATGTGACCTGTAAACTTCGAAATGAGTAATTCACCTGTAATTATGAGCTCCCATTTCTTTTCCCCGACTCCCTTTGATGCGGAGAATTCACAAGTGTAGTTTCCCGTGTGCGACCTCTGGGCTCTCGTTATGTTTAATGCATATAGTTGGCTCTTTAACATGGACACGTTCAGCTTCAAGCTCTCGGCTTTAGAGGACGTTACACATCTGACCTTTGAGCTGCTGTTTAAGGTTTTGTCTGGCCTGATAGTGAACAGAATATCCCCATTCATTTTCCACGCCAGTTGAGTTAAGTTGCTAATTGAGTCATTGCTACAGTTCAGGGTCACTGTGCTCCCAGCTGTCTGTGAGATCCTGTGCGCTTCTGATAAAAAAGAAAATCATATTGTAGGTTTTGTTTTTGCTGGAAACGTTTGAATACTAAAGCAACAGGAAAACAAAACTATTCCTCAAAAAATCCGAACACAGCTCAAAATGTCTATAAAAAGATAATTAATTGATTTGCAAATCATTTAAACTGTACATACTCTACATTTTTATTGTTCATTGCTAGCATAATATTTTTATTACTTATAGAGATTAAGTAACTTAAACATAGTCATGTTTGCATATCAAAGTGTAGGGCGCAAAGCCACAAAAAGTAGTGCATTAAAGTTTAAGTAGCAGTCTTCTGCCGATTAAAGCAGTCGTAACTGAACTGAAAATCTACCTTGCTAGGCAAAAAGCTACAACTACAACTCGCCCACATATTCAGCTTATCGTTGCTGTTCTATGGGTCACATATTTTCCACATTTTCAAACTGTTCCCATAGGTTCTGCACATTATCAGAGAATTTATTTTACCTGCTTGCAAGAAAATATAGAAGAAGCACCATATCAGAGTCAAGGTCCAATTGATGCCCAAATATCTTGAAAAGTCTTCCATGGCAACATGAAGAAAGATAATTTAGAAACATATTTTCAGTATGTGCTGGACGATCTGTAAATATTTCTAACTGGTAGTTTATTTGCATCTTTTACTACGAGAGCTTCAATTAGATTTGAAATGTAATATCCTTGAGAGTAAGAAACAGCGATTCTCTTACCAGTATTGATTGCCATATGCTGTTTGGTCCTTATCTCAATACGACAACAGCTTTAAGGTTGCAAAAGCAAGAAAAAGCAATATCTAATAGCTATAGTAATTAGAAGGTACAGCTTGAAGGCATACGTGCATAGCGTTAAGATACAGCCTCGCTGTCGTTTTTTCACAATACCACAGATACGGTTCCACACAGGAAGTGAAAAACTTTGGTCTGTGGCCATGTGAGAGATATGCTCATATTTGTTTGGTTGGCCTTTGAAAGTTGCAGGAGATGCTCTGAGAGTACATGCTGACATTTGTTGACGATGGCATATTGTAGTCGCTTACAACCCTTCATTGCAATGTTCTACTTATACCAACACCACAGCGAGAGGCTACAGATCGCATGGCATGTATTTGCTTCGTCTGTCATTTTTAAAAATGCATAAAAGTCCACTTGAAACTAGGAAGAGGAACACTTTAACGAAACCCCTTTTAGCAGTCACAACTTTGTGCTCTTACTTGGCATTGTAGGCAGTAAAAAGTCAAACATGAAAGAGTGCAAGATATGAAAAAGATTCCCTTGAGTTTGAGAATAATGTTCCAAGCTTCAGTTGAGCAAACCCTATCTGTTTAATAATAATAATTTATAATAAAGTAGTAAATAGTAAATAGTAGTTCACCCAGACCCAGGTCTCCAACAACTGGAAACATCTGCAAAGTGCAGTGAGAGCAAGTCCTTTAACCACAATCCATGTGACTCATATATTTGGACCTCTGAGGCATAAATTACTGGAATCTCAGGCATCTGGCCCTAGACAGTGCTATTTTTATCTGTCAGAGGCACACCCGAATATATCCAGTCACCACTTGCTCACATTTATATCACACTGTCATTTTGGATCAGTTGTTTGGTATTCTGACACATCTTCCTGTAGTAGAGCTTGTTGTTATGGCTGTTTGCTGTTTGTTTGTTTTATGATTGTGTTTTACCTTAGGCATTTTTTGTCTTTGTGATGAATGCGTGGTTTTTGTTGTTGTTTGTGAGGAGTTGTGGATTGTTCAACCTCAGTGAGTCATAGTTCACAGCCTGTCTCATGTTTTCAGGCATTACACATACACATGAGTTTTAGAAATGTTGCGGTTCGTTTACCTTTACTAAAACAAAACATTCCACACTTGAAAATTTCCTTCAGAGAAATGTTAGTATTAGCTATTATTAGCTTTTACTTTACTTTCTCTACAAACTGAGGTGTGCAAGAGCCTCAACCCCCATTATGAGCACCTTCTACAGAGGCACTGTTGAGAGTACACTCACAAGCTGCATCACTGTGTGTTATGGCTCCTGTACACGGTCCTGCCAGGAAAAGTCAGCACTCTGATTTTGTTGGACCCTGTTGTTTATGTAAGATTGTATTACGTTTATTTTTAAGTTGTTTAGCATTAGGGATGGGTATCGTTTATGTTTTATCCGATACCGGTGCCAAACCGGTACTTTTAAAACGGTGCAGGTGCTTAAACGGTGCTCAAACCTTTGGTCATTTTAGCCTTTTTGGCCAGGGTGAAGGGAGTATCTGCCATCAAACAAGAAGACAGCCGCATGTAACTACGACGGTGTTTGCTAGTTCACCTTACGTGCATTAATGTAAAAACATGGTTAGCCTACTCAACGTAAATTACACACGAACAACATTAAGCTACTCACGGCT